ACCAGAACAATTATTCTGAGCCTGGACTTAAAAATTCTGCTTTCAATATTACTAATAATGTCTGTGAATATTAACAATAAAGGAACATAGAAATAAAAGAAAGGGTGATATACAGTTAAAAAAAAAACAATATGAAAACTTTAAGTTTTCAATAACAGCAGTTCCTTGGAGAGAATGGCAATTTTGCCATGGACTGCACTAAGAAATAACACCCTGGATATCTGAATAATATTGACTCTTCTCTGTAAGATATGTCAGTTTCTAAAGAGTTTATTACAGTACTGCAAAAGATTGCACACTTAGCAAAATATAAGTAAGACTCTTGCAGAGACTTCAGCTTTTGTGAGAGAAGATTGAACTTGATGCTGATCAGTCACTCAACATTATGGCTGCTGCCAAATGCTTGAGGAAATCCCTCCCATCCTACACATAATGCCTGCCAAAACTTTTACCTCTAAAGATAATGAGTCCATTCATTAAATATATACCCCTCCAAACCTAACATCTGAGGACTTCTAAAGAAGTAATATAGCCTATAAAATAATAAATCAGAATCAGTTTTCCAACACAAAATAAGCTAAACAAATGCCACAAACAAACACTATGTTTCTGATATTTTTCTACTTTAAGAGATCAGATCACTTGATCTTATACGCCTCTTTTGGAAACAAGTTCATTTTCACTAGAAAGTTGGTAGCCAAAAGAAATACTGCACTTAAGAGTGAGTTGGCAGGACCAAAGTATATTTTTAACAACATTCCAACGTATAGTACAAGAGTTGCTATATATAATGTCTGTATTTGCAACAAGCTGCAGTTCTATATCAAGCATGGGTCAATATTAAATAAAACCATGTTTAAAGCTTGAACATTTAGAAACCCTCAAATTAAAGAAATGCCTATGGAATCTGAACTATACTTAGCTTTGGAGATCAGTACAGTGCTTGAGAAGGGATCTTGTTTTGTCTCCTAATTTTTCTAACCATCTCGGTATTAGATACCAATTAAAATATAGCCCTTATGTCTACCTTCCCCAATACAGATCTGTACAATGTCATAGTGATGTTTTGAGACATATACTACCTGCACCAACTTGGAATCCTGGTAATTGTATTTTTAATCTAATACATCTGGAATACATCTAATACCCCTTGAGAAAGGCAGGTATAGGAAAAAGATGTCTGGATATATTGTTGTTGTCTATATTTCATTTTTCAGAAGCAAAAAATATTTTTTCCCATTCTGGTGTCTCTTAGGTGAGTTGAGAAGCATTCATTCTTTTACACCATAAAGCAAACTAGAGTTATTTTTGAAACCATCAAGATACTCTACTGTCTAGTTGTATTCCTTGTAGTTTTAAGAAGCAAATAACATTCTGCTAGGCCCTTGAGCACTCTGAATCTATCCCAAGCTTCTGCAGATACTGACATATAAGCAGCCAGAAGAATGGCTGTATTGTTTACATGGCTTAACAAGAAACACTGTGTAGCAGCCTGAATGAATTATAGAGCAAGCAGGAGACTGTTCACACCCCAGAAGTACTTATGGCACCACTTTAGCACCCCCACGGGTGCTGAAGTATGGACAACAAGGACCAACAATGTGACCTTTTATTTTGGATATCAGCCAAACAATGGGCCAACTGTAATAATTTCATGCCAGGCTATGGAGCACAGAGTCAGAATGATGAATGAAAATTCTGGGAAAGGTTCCATGAGCTGGTCAATTCCAATTAAAACAAATTAAACAATCCTAGTGGATTTAGCCTCAGGTTTACAACTACATAACACTGCTATAACTTAAGGCAGAGGTTTCTCAAGCTCAGCAATCACATGAAGGTCATCAAATTAATTTAGGTGGAAGAAACGAGTTTTATAGGCTTTCATGTGTAAAGCAGGATGCTGTCAGTTCTCACTCACTTTCTACCTGAACAAGCACTTGCGTGGACAAAGAAGTAGTGTGGTCTGGCTATGTGTGATCTTCTCTGCACCTGCTCAGTTGCTTGCTCCAGCACTTTGTTCACAGCCCTTTCCTTCACCAATAGTAGAAATAAAGCCAAATGCTGTTTTGACAGCTGAGAAGGTGGAGAAATTCATTTTCTCTTCCCAGGAAGGACTCCTCTCTGTTCCTGGTTTGGTTGGTTGGACATATATTTGAGCCATAAAGGGATAAGGTGAAGTAGCAAGAAGGGTGAGAGAGCTGTGAGAACAAAAAAAAATACTCAATTTATCTCATGCCCACCCCACCACATGTGGCTGGAGATCCCCTTTTTAACAAATTGACAACATACCCCCTCCCACATAATCTGGTTTATAAATTCTGGTTTATAAACGAAGAAGAATCAGATGTAAACTCAACCAACTGTATGACCTAATTGCAAATGGGAATATTTTCTAGTATTTCTTCTCATAAACACATACAGGAGTAGCAGAGATTAGGCAGAGCAGACCAGAGGTTCTTCTCTCTCTACCTGTCCATCACGGTTACATTCAGAAATTTGTCGTGTAAAAGATAATCAGCTTATCAGTAGCATATTCTAACTGCTCCCAAAAATGCTGTTGGATAACACTGCAACTTCCATAAAATCTAACTTTGGACCTCTCCCTCAAATAACAGAAAAGTCTATTGTTTGGCAAATCAGGCCAGGCAATTTATGCAAATTGATGTAATTTTAGTAAATTTTACATAAATTATATAATACATAAATACATAAAATTGCATAATTTACATACATTGTAAATGTATGTATTAAATTTGAATTTAATGAACATTTGGATTTAACAGGCAGCCGTTTCCCTCAATTATAATTCCCCAATTATTTCCCCTATTAAAATTCTGTTTACACATGCAAAAACTAACTAATGAAAGAAAAAGACTTGGATTGCTAGAAAAGGAACAAATAAACCTTAACTTGTCTGAAATTATTCATCCATTTAAACCCAAGATTCTTCAGGCCCTTTGAAAATGATGCAGATCCAACCCCTCACACAAGCTCCTGAATGAAATTATTTCTTCACAATGCTATCCCCTGCTCAAACCTTATGGCCTTGCATCTCAGGAGGCAGAATCCAACAGGGCAGATTAAGAAACAAACCAATATCTGTAGTCTGTAAAAGTGACAGTCCATTGAATGATAGATTTGGGAACAAAACCATACATGAACTGGAGGTGAAAAGAGGAGAAAGCATACAAGATAAATTCAGATTTGTCTGAATAATGGTATAAAAATTGAAATGGACAATACAGCTCAAGCAAAGATATATACTGCAAGCAAAACCAGTTAGGATCAATCTAGGGCAAACTTGCAGCCCACGAGTCAGATGCGTCATGGGCTGGCATGCCCACACCCAGTTTAGCAAAGGGAGAAGTCATGATACATCACGTGACGCCACTGTGACGATGTAAGTTTGACACCCCTGATCTAGTGCATTATCATTTGGTATCAATTAACAGGAAATGAGCAAGACCCTTTCCCCATTGGGTTAGACAAGCAAATAATTGGAGGCAGGTAGCTTCTTATAGTCTAAAGATGTATTTTTCAAAGACAACAATTTTAGGACGTCTGGACTTCATCTCCTAGAATTCCCTGGCCACCATGCTTGTTTCCCAGCCAAGGTTGAGAAACACCGTTCTAATGCAACAACCATGTTTCATCTCTCTATTCTGAAAACTCAACATTTTAAGCTTCATGTATTGATAGAACCATGAAATTTAAAAACAAATAAACTGAATTGTCTGAAATCATGACCAAATCTCACAAGATTTTTATGTTCAGATTAGGTAATATTTTGGTTTTGATGTTCAATATCTAAAGATTTGATCTTTTAAAAAGCTGAAGCTCAACTAGGCAATCAATATTGTACCAATAAATATTGTTTCAAAAGCAGCTTTTATAAATTCCTCTACAAACCTTGAACAACCTCCCCATTGAGTGAGTGATTTAGATGATGACCGATGAAGTCTTCTGAAGAATTTATAATTTCATGTTGATTTCTCATTGTAAATTTGAAATAAGAGAAGCTGAGCGGTGCAATTGAGTCAAGGAGTTCTTTCCTACGTTGAGCAAATTTCTAAGGAAAGGGCTGCAAAGCCCAATCCTCAGGAAAACACAATACATGATTCCCTCCAGTGGTGGGATTCAAAAAAATTTACTACTGGTTCTGTGGGTGTGGCTTGGTGGCCATGGCGTGGCTTGGTGGGTGTGACAGGGGAAGGAAAGTGTAAAATCTCCATTCCGTCCCCACTCCTGGGGGAAGATTATTGCAAAATCCCATTCCCACCCCACCGCACTAAGCTGCTTTCCAGCTCTGTTCTCTTTTGCAGGGCAACAAAAGAAGACCCAGTCAATCAGCTGGGACTTGGGAGGCAGAGAATAGATGGGGGCAGAGCCAGTCAGATGTGGTATTTGCTGGTTCTCCGAACTACTCAATATTTCCACTACCAGTTCTCCAGTTCTGGTCAGAAGCTGTTGAATACCACCTCTGCTTCCCTCCCAATAAAGGCATGTGGATAGGTCAAACTCATAACCAGAAATACTCTTTTGTCTCTGCTTTTCTCCAGAATATGCTATTTCACTGTTCCTTATTCTCCAAAGGAACACCAAGCATTCATGGTTAAAAAAAGGCTTGAGAAAGGGATGAGCTGCCACCCTAAGTATTTCTATTATTACATTCTGCAAAACATGTAATCATGCTGACCCTTTCTGTGTTATTTCCCATTATTTTAGTTCTACTTCAGTCAATGTATACGATTGAATTCAGCTAGTGAGACTTGTTCATCAGAAGAAAAGCACTGAGAGTTCAGCAGGTCTTTCTGCTTTGGCATTCAATGCAATCATTTTGCTTATTGTGAAAAGTCCAGCTTTTCAAGAGCAAACCTCCTACCATGCCTACAAGAAGATCCAGCTGATTTATGTTTGTTTTGGGGGGGGGTGTTGAACAGGGGTTTGAGCTATCCATTAAAGGGCCATCAAGTATTTGCTTTTGGTTCTTCTTCATCTACTTGCTTTAGAGAGCAACACCAACAACCATAAACTCTTAAAGAGCCAGTTTAAGTGCTCAGTGGGGCCTCTGATGAATTTCTGGAATTTGTTCCCAGAAATCATTCCAAGAAAATCCAGGATTCTAATAGCTTCATTTTTGACAGATGAAACTTTTCTAAATTATGTGTGATGAGTTACAGTATCTAACTCCAATCTTCTATGCATCTATAATGGCTGCAGCTGGTTCACTCTGCTCTCTTTCTGACTGCTGGCACCTTGAACAACCAAAACACTTTGCCTACCGCACACAGGCACCCCATCTGCCTTGTGCCTGACAGTACTTCTGAATGGGCACCATGAAAGGAAGAGGCTGCACCCTTGCCAAAGGCCAGACATGACCCTGTTCTTTCTGGGACACAATCACAAAGCCCTCGTTAAAATGCATATGGCTGGCAGCAGGTCCATGGTGTAATTAGGACATTGTCCAACTATCGAAGGGCTGCAAAGGAGACCATTCAATACACTGTAGATGTACTTGGTGCCTTGAAACACAAGCCAAGCCATTTCAGCCCAATTATTAAAAAAAGAAAGAAAAAGTAATGAAAAGATGGGAAGGCAGCCAAATGCAAAGAAACACACATATTGACGCAAATACCCCTCTGCAAAATACAAGCAGCCTAGCATGACAAGCAGAAGGGACAGCTGCTTTTTCCAACTCATTACAATAGGACAATGGCCTCAGCTGATGACACTTAGAGAGGTATAGAATATGAAGTGTTCTAAAAAAGAAAAGATTGAAATAAAGAATAGAGTCAGTGGCAGAATAGCACAGGAATCTACCTTACCCCACATAAAACCACGAAGTTCTATTTGTTTAAACCATGGTTTGTTGAACAACCCATACAGGATGGATTCAGGGATCATTTTAAGCCAAAACCAAAAGTAAAATCCAGCCACTGATTTCAGGAGACAGAGAGGTCATCCATTTGCTATATTAACCATTTACCTTGCAATGTTAAGACTTTCTAGAAATAAAAGGATTGGGTAGAAATAAAGCTTTTACTCCAGTGTTATGTTCTTGTTTTTGAAGAAGAAATGAGAACTGTTCTTAAACCATTATGATATGCAGCCAAAAGCAGGAAAGTTATGCTCTAGTTTCTAATGAATGTAGAGGCAGCATGGAAACTGTTCCAATAACAGATAATTCTGAGAACAGAAAAAGCAGGTACAAGAAGGGCTAAGATCAAGCTGTATAAAAATATTCAAAATCCAACAGCATAAAAAGCCAAACACTATTAGCCTACCAAGGTTAAAAATAAAAGACTTTGAAAAATCTAAGTAAGTTCGATAGTCATTTTCTATAACAACTTTCCAAGGTCTATCATGTACATGACTAAATATGAGTATCTTTTGATGCAACACCACCTTACTTGCATTTTTTCCAGATCGAGACTGGGCCTCCCAACCTTGTCACCATAGCCCTGTCGGTGTCGTTTACACGGCATCCCTTGCTCAAAGCTGCCTCCGACGCTTGTAAAAATTATAGGCCGTACCAAGGACTGCAGTCTTTTAGGAGGTGAGGCACTGAAGAGCACTGGGCTAGGACTGGCACGCAAACCTTCCACAGCTTCGACCACTGGCCGGAAGGATTTGCCACACAAGGTCTTTACTTCCTCATCACTGGAGGAAGCATTACAGCTGTCACTGCAGCAGCCAAGCTTGCTGACCTGAGACCACTTCCGTTTCTCAGCAGCAAACTCACGGGTGATACATTCCAACTCCTCTTCGGAACTATGATGGTCCAGCCCAGAAGGAAAATGGCCCCGTACTTTGCAGCACTGATTTTCTTGATTTTGCTGTTGATTGGTTGCCAAGGGAGTCAAGGTGCAATTCCGTCTTCTCTCTGGGAAAATATTTAAAACAGTGATAGAGAAGATCTTAACGCAGCCTTACATAGTGATTAAAAACCACTAGCCCCATTCCCCACTCCTTCTGTAAAATAAGTCCTTCATCCCAGACACTGGAAGAAGTTACGACTAGCAGCAGGCAGGAAAGCTGAACACTTCTGGAATAATCGGGAAAGTGAAGCTCTTTTATTTAAGAAGAACTGGCACACTCACACTGTGAAAGACACTCTATTAACCAGGGCCCACCAAGACCTGGTCAGCTACAAACATCTGAAGTCCCTTGCAAACAGAACTCTGCACAGAGAGGGAACTAAGATTAGTTTGTGAGGAGGAGATGTGGACAGTACACATTGAGGATAAATAGAAAAAGCTGGTTGTGTAAAGCCATCATCACAGTATGAGTGAAATTAATGAAAAAAGGCTACATTTCTATGTGCTGGAAAAAAGTACGAAGCGGAGTCTACTTTTGATGAATACTCAAGTAGTAGCTCTGTATAATTCAGAACCCATATTCCACATGTAGGTACCTATTGACAAAGTGCTCCCAATTTTCTGACCAGTCTACATGTAGATGGAAGCCAAAATCCTATATTACTTCAGTATCTTACCAAAAAGGAAAAAAGAAAAAAACAACCATCCAATCCATTTTCATTTGGGTAACATGTAGTGCCAATGATTAGCTTGATTTAGATTTAATGATTTGGGTGAAACCAACAAATATAACTTGTAGCGCACAGTTAGAACACAGAATAACAGAGTTGGAAGGGACCTTGTAGGTCATCTAGTCCAACTCCCTTATCAAGCAAGAGACCCTACACCATTTCAGATAAATGGTTATCCAGTCTCTTTTGAAAGCACCCACACATGAACCCAGCCAATTTTAATTTAATCAATATACTATGTTCACACAAACCTTGACTTGGCATGATGTACAAATTCTGTCAATGTTTGTCTCAGGTGACTCTATCACAAATAGAAGGTACATTAACCTAACAGAGTTTGCTTTTGATAGAATGAAAGAGAGCAATTTTGGCTAATCTCTCCTGCAGCTATCAGTACTACTCTCGTATGAAGAGGCTCACCAGCAGAAGAACCTCAAAACAAGGCATATAAAAGTGGCCAAATCCTAGCAAAGTGTTGTGGTTCACTGGCAGCCGGTGCAGACAGCAGCGGAATCGGACAGTGAGGAAGAAAGGGAACCAGTCAGGGAGTCTGGAGAGGACTTGGACAAGGGTACTGCATCTGATGAAGGGATGGTGCCAGGGCCATCTGGGAATGGGGTGCTGCCTTTGGCCTTCGGAGTCTGGCAGCAGCAAAGCAGAAGACCCAGGGAAGCCTGTTCCCAATGTGTGTGTGCGCAGAGCTGCTAGAAGGTGAGAGCAGCTGAAGCAGAAGGGCGACTTTTATATAAGGGATAAAAGTCAGACCTCAATCACAAAAACTTTGCAGGAAGCAAAGTAGTTCGATAGATTCCGAGTCCTCCTTGAAGCTCCTTATACTCTGGTTGGTTTTTTCTGATACTTCGTTTGGTTTCTGTTATAATTAATTGTATATTTCTGTTTTTGGCAACATTCCACAGCACTGAAAGGCATGTGCTTATCTTGGAGAACTGTTAAAATTAGTTCTGGCTGGGAATGAAAGTAATTCCCAGCATTGCAATAAAATAGGTTTTATTTTTAAAACAAGTTTGATGAAGCCTGGGTCAGAACAGAAAGATCATAGGACCACAGAGTTTCTCAGATTTGGAGCAAGATCCACAACAGTATTTCCAACCACTCATAAAGTTTACTGACTATTATTACTTCCATCATCATCTACTACCCCAATTTAATTTCATTCTTCCAAGAATAAAATCAAACAGCCTGCCCTTGTACATCACTCTATAGAAGAAGAATGGAGTTGAGTTTTATGTGTTTCTCCAGAATTTGTAGTAGCATCAAGAGTTCCTGTGAAATTGTTCTGCAATCTATACACTACTAAAATTCTGATTATTCTAATCTTTAACTGGGAAAAAAGTGTACCATAGGGACAAAACCTTTTGTACCAAGATACTTCAAATGGGCTAACTTACCAAATGTATCCAAAATCCAGAATCCCTAAATCCCATGGAATTGAAATTTGGCAAATGTTGTAATATATTTTATGACATAAAATTATCATAAAACAGTTGGTAACATAATACAAATATCATAACACATTTTATGTATTGATGTTTGACTATATTATACAGTTCAACGTGGGATATTTTCAAGGCAGATACCTCTCTGAAGGTATCCTAACTTTTCCAGTGAAGGCAGAACATTAGAAGCTCTGTCACTGCTAAAGGCATTAAGGAATCTGGTCAGGAAATCTCTCTGAAAGAATGACACAAGAGGTCACGGGTTGTTTATTTATCCCATTAATCTTGACCACCATTCATGCTAGCCAGAGTTAATAGGACTCAACAAGATCTGGAAGGCATCAAATTTGAGAAGACTGCTGGACAAGAAATTCTTAGTTTCAGGGAAGATGAAATTAGCCACATGGGATGGGATTACATAAATTATAATAAAAGTTGACAAAACCTACGCTAGAAAGCAAATACCTGGAAATTGCAATGCAAGTTTAACACTAACATTCTTAGGTAGTTTCCTAAATACTGGAATGCTTTACCTCTGTCAATCTGAGCAAGTTCCTGGTTCTCTCCCTCAGAATCATCACTGTCTTCCTCATCACTTGGTGTGTAGGAAATCTAGGAGAAAATGCATATTTAAAAATCATTCAACATGAAATGTGCAACGGGCAAATTCTAGTTGCCTGTTTAATTTTTATATGCATTTCTTCATGAATGCATATTCCATCTTATACCCACATTAATCTCAATTTTTATATGAAAAAACCCTTCACAGACAGCTTGTTTCAGCAAATATTTTCCAACTTCTCATTTTCTGTTTAGGATGCATCTCAAAATTTTTTGATATCCCAGAGGGAGAGCCCCATGGCCTATTTTGGAAAGATCCAGTGGTCTCCAAATCACATATTAGTTTCAGAGTTCCAGAGCTGATCCATTCTTAAGAGAATCTGCAAATAGTGCATTCAATTTGGCATCCCTAACATGAAAACCAACACTTGCATCTCCTGCTGCCTCCACAGATATCAATAAGATCTGTATATCAACAATACAATTCACATTGGGTAAAATTCTTCTGCATTCCTTTTCAGAGAGGTATACAATTTAACAACTGAAGACTCTCTTAGCTGCAGTGACACACCTGTGGACTAACCTCCGTAAAGCAGTTCACCTGGAAACAAACCTGTTCATCACCAAGCACAAGTATTCTTAATCACTCAGGCATTCTAATTTACTATAATTTGGATTTTTTTTAATAATGAACTGCTTTGACATTTTTGATATTGTATTATAGTGTTGCGGAGCTAATTGAATATTACCTGAAATGTTCAACTTGCAAACTATAACTGTTCACTACAAACACACATACAAATCCAACCCCAAAATCTGAGAGTTAGTTAATTGGTGCATCTCAGTGCAGCCTCCCCAACTTTGCAGCTCTCCCACAGCCGTGATGACTGAGGATTAGTCATCACCTCACTTATCAGGAAAACTGCAGCTAGGAACAAACTGATGGACTGTATCTTTGCTATATTATATGCATATTTCTTTCAAGAACCTCCTAAAGAAATCTACCTTGTTCATCTGTTCCTTCTTTTCTTAGCTTTTTTAGTCACAGTGTGCATTGGAAGCTTCCTATCATCTTTGCTATTCCTCGAAATCCAGTTTGGAATGTCAAAACTATAATAACCGTTTAAAAATCTCATTAATATTGAAAACAACTGATCTGTTCTGTCATTTGAAACATCTTAAGAAATCGTTCCATTTGCCCAAGTTTGCTGATATCTGTTACAACTTAATGCTCTCTTCCCCTGCCAAAAAACAAATGATTACTATACTACAGCTTTGCTAATAATCTAAATTTATTTTTATTGATTACATTTCTATGCCACCCATGTTACTGATACAATGACTCTGGGCAGCTTACAATATAATAAAAAGTTAAATGGTGCTAAAATACCATTTAAATTTAAGAAATTGAGTAGAGAAGTTAAAAAACCAAAATGATGGGAGGCCTTGGAGTGCGTATCAGTCACTCCTAATTTAATAGGGCCCTGTTGAGGCGCCAGGCCAAGCAGCATAGGCAAGTTCTTAGGCTCTTCCAGAAGGCCAGTTGTTTGGGGGTGCACTTCACCTACCCCAGAAGAATATTCCAGAGTGTAGGAGGGGCCACAACAGAAAAGACTCTTCTCCTGGACCTGCCAGCTGAAATTCTTTGGACAATAAGATCCAAACTAGGCCCTTTCTGCTGGAACAGGTAGAGCAAGTTAGTCCCATCAGGGTCAGACAGTTACTCAGATATCTTGGACCCATGCCATAAAGGGCTTTAAAGGTAATGACCAACACTCTGGATTGGATCTGAAAGCAAACTGGCAATCAGAGCAGTTTGTATAACAGCAGAGTCACATGTGCCACCCAAGGGGCCTACAGAACAGTCCCCTCTGCTTTGTACTGCACCAGTTTTAACTCCAGAGTACTTCAAGTGTATTCAGAGATGACCAGGGTATGAGTGACTGTGACATGAGCCTCACAAGTCAGGAAATATCATATCTGGTACACAACATGAAGTTGTGAAAAGGCTCTCCTAGCCATGGCTGCTATTTGCTGTTCAAGCAGAAGTCACAAACCTAGGAGAATCCATAAATTGCCCACTGTCTGGGTAGTGCAACCCCATCCAGATTTATCCAGATAATCCCAGATCCAGAAAGCCCTTGAATCCATAGCCACTCTTGATTATCAGGGTTCAGCTTGTTGTCCCCCATCTCCTACAGCCTCCAGACACTGCAAGACGACAATTACAGCATTATTTGTATCACTGGGGATGGAGATTTAAAGTTGGGTATTATCAGCATATTGATGATACCTCATTCTATGATATTAGATTATCTCACCCAGCAGTTTTATGTATATGTCAAAAGGGAGCACCAAGCCGTGCAACATGCCACAAAGGAATGGCTGTGGGCTTGACCTCTCACTTCCTGATTGGGACCGGACTTGAAGAAAGGAGCTGAATCAGCATAAAATTGCACCGTCCAGTCCCAGTTCTCACAAATGGCCCAAAGGGAAACAATGGTCAATGGAATCAAAAGCTGCTGAGAGGTCACGAAAGCAAAGATGGATGCAGTACCCCCATTCTGTTTTCACCATACATCATCTACAAGTGGGACCAATGCTCTCTGTCCCATAACCAAGTCTGAAATCCGACTGAAAGGGATCCAGATAATCTGTGTCATCCAGAATACTCTGAAGCTGAGGCACAACCACTTTTTCCACCATCTTCCCTTAAAAGGGGAACTGGGAAACTGGACAGAAATTGTCCAGATAGGTGGGGTCCAATAAAATTTTCTTGAGGGACAGACCAAGGTTTCCATAAACAATCCCAGAAATATCCCTCTCCTGAAGGGATGCATTTATTACTGCCTGGATCCACCTGTGGGTTATCTTCTTGAAGGCCTTTACCAACCAGGTGAACCAAAAATCTAATAAACCTGCAATTGCACTAACAATACTGAGGACCCTGTTCAATTCCTCAGGTCAAATTGCTCCCAGAGCATCTCCAAAGGACCTGTTCCACACTTGGGATTCCAACTGGAAACAAATTTGAGCAATTTTATCTGTCAAATGCTTGACAAATTCCTCCACTCAGCCTCATAAGTGTTCATCTGAGTCCTCCTTAGTGTTCATCTGAGTCTTCCTTCCCAAGGACGGACCAAGTCACCTTACATCGTGCTGCCAGGTGGCAGTCTGCAAACATCGTGAGAGCTGAGAAATAGTGGTTTTCACTGTTCTTACCATCACGAAGTAGGTTTTTATAGCAGTTCTGATCCAAGGTACTTCAGATTTGTTGTCTTCTTTCAGCAGCGCTCTAGCTGTCTCTGGATTTTTCATCAAGGTTAGAACTTTCCTAGCCCCCATTACCTATTGACTGCCACGTTTCCATTTTAGGAAACTAATTATAGTAACACGTGTTATTGCACTAATTTCATTGATTTGTAGTAATTAGTTTTACCTTGATTATTGTATTTTGATTTTAAATGTTATGTGCCCAAATAAATAAATAAAATCTGGAAGCCTGCTAAGAGTGAAATGATTAGATGTGGTACATAGGACCTCTTTACCTACATAATCACAATTATTCTCAACAAAAATACTACAAAGTATATTAGCAACAATATTAATATTATCTCCATGTTTCAAGGAATAATTACTATTTCAGGGCTACACAGTTCATCTACGGCTCACAAAAGCTACAAATCTTATGTAAACATTAGCAGCTTTGGAAGCCTGCAGCTTCCTAGAGGTTTATTATATAAAGAGGTAGAAAGAGCTTTTAACTCATTGTATAATAATCCTGATGGGAGATGGCTAAAAGAACATAAGAATCCCAGATATGTAAAATATTTAATTGAAATTCACATATTATCAAGATTTCTTTCCATGATGCTCAGAAAATATTTTAATAAATACTATTTAGCTCAGAAACCAAGAGATTTGTGCTTTCCAGTTCCATATTCTGTTTACATTATAGTTTCTGCTTAGTTTAACAGCTGCTAAAAGGTACATTAATTGTACAAAACTGCAGAAAGCACATGATGTTGTTTACAAGAATGTCAATGTTACAAAACACTGTTCAACATGTTAAATTTAATTATAGAAAGCTAAAGTTGTCTGGATAACAGACAAGGATACCATACTAGTTTTCGTTCTTTCTCCTCACCAGAGATATGGGGCTGCCATCCAGAGTCTTCAAAGAATAGTTCCTACATTTTCTGGATTAATAAAAATGACACTATCTAGCTTTCTAGTTTTAGTTTGGCTTAGTGATGATCAATTTCCACATTTTGTGGATAATGCATGCATTTATTGCAACTTTGAATCTAACATTTTTTTATAAAAAAACAGATCTTTATTGCCATGAGGCCATAATTTACATCTTTACCTTTCTCCAAAAAGATAATATAATCTTTTATATACTAAAATTCTCCAGCTAACCTGGATTTTCATACAGATAATTTTTAAAATGTAATAAATTTACAACTTCATTGCTTTGTGTTGTTCTGACTAAAGAAAGTACACTTCATGATATCTCAAAGAATGTCCAGGGGCTAAGAATCTCTTATATCCTCAATTCTATGAAGTTAAAGTGAGGTGGTTTTCTGTTGTCATACTCTCCTTATTGGCACAAAAGATGTTATCTCATTCCAACTCGTTAAATCAAAAATATTTAATGATTGTTATTGACTGACTTTTCTTGGCTGCTATATTATGTATAATTTTGTTACATGGTTTTTATCTTGCTTTTAAATATTTTTAGGTGACCATAGTCATGTATTTGAGATGGGTGGCCCTACAAATTGAAATGAATTGAGTTAAAGAATAAGGATAGCTAATTTCAAAATCTATTTCCACAAAGTTCAAGAACTGAAGATGTAGCTCATAGTCAGGTGTCTCTGGGACAGGTGACTGGGAGGCAAATATTAAAGCTTGTATAATAACTTCATCGCACAAATGCCATGATTTATATTGGAGGTGACTACACAGTGGTGTTATTTTTTAATAATTTTATTAAAAACTTTAATTACAATAGTAAAAACAATACAAACTAAAAAGAAAAAAATAAAAGTTGGAAGAAAACAATAAAAGGTGTTATTTGTCCAATGATAACACTGCGCACGTTTTTTTAGTGTCACTGAGTTTGCTGAGGATGCCACTGATTTATATTCAGATTTTCTGCATATATTCACATACATACATACATACATATTCATTCTACAACTCCCCCTTCCCAATAAAAGAGCATGATAGAACTGGATTAAATAGCATGGGAGATAAGCTGCTAATTAAACCCACCTAGAGAATGTCATGCTGACAAAGACTAATCTTCAGGAAGATAATCTACTTCTTTAACATTGTATTTCAGAAAAAGTAATCTTTCAAGTAATATAAGGTAATAATACCCATGAAAACCATTTCTTCTTCCATGTTTCCCTGAAAATACAACCTACCCCAAAAGTAAGCCCTAGCTTGATTTTTACACATGCGCCCAATATCAACCCTATCTGCAAAATAAGCCTAATAAGCCACTCTGGGGCACACAGGGTGGGGCAAGGCGCACCCTGGAGTAGGCGGGGTCTTAACTAAGCTTATTTTACGGGGTAGGGCTTAAATTTGCATAAAAATCAAGCTATGGTGGGTATGTTGGGTGGAGCTGCCCTATTTACCAGGCCTCGCACATCCTGACATCTGCCTCGCCTTGCAGGCCCACTTCTTCTGCAGCTGCTTGCTGCTGCTTATGTGTGTCACCCCTGGCCTCCATTCTGCCATCAGAGGCCTTCATGAGAGGCCTCTGCAGCTGATAAAAGAACTCCAGATCAATCTGGAGCTCTGTTATCGCTGTAGAGAGCTTTCCAGAAGGCCTCTGATGACAAAAAGGAAGCGAGGGAGCACCGCATCCATCAATCCAGAGCCCATTTCTCAGCTGCAGAGGCCTTTCCTGAAAGCCTCTAATGGCAAGCCAAAGGTGGGGGGCAATGCGCAGCTGCAGAACAAATGGGCGAGAAGCTTGGCAGGGCTGTCGGTACCGCTGCTGCGAGGTGAGTCAATAATTAGATATACCCAAAATTAAAATCTGGTGCCCTTTTTTGGTGGCAAGAAAATGTAAGTCCAGGTCGTATTTTCAGGGGAACCCAGTTTAAAAAAGATAACTATGACATATTTGACATTTGAAATGTGCTGTCCCTGACAAATACAGTAATATTAAAGAAAGCCAAATTTTTTTTCCAATAGAAGTCAAGAGCAAGGAAACCTTTTCTTTACAGGAATTTCTTTTCTAAATGGGTGAAGGGTAAGGAAAGCAGAAAAAGATATTGCCTCTCAGAGAGATTGAGGAGGGAATCCAAGAGATCAAGTCTTTCATCAATTGAATGAAAAACTTACCTGGAATTCAACAAAAAGATAAAGAAACTCAGGCAAAAAAAAGCCCCCTTAATGTTCTATTCATACAATCAGTTTCAATTATCTTTAACTCAGCAAATGAACCAAAATAAAGTCTGCAGAAGTAGTTACTGCAAAGGAAAAATTACTCAATAGACTGGGAATTACTCAATAGACTCAATAGACTGAGAGATGGGGAAACACTGCTATTAATAATGGGAAAGGTCACAGCTTATAGCGAAAGCAGCCCAGGACACTTCGTTGACTGAGCCAGAGCAACCAAGAGCAGAACCTCCCATCGGTATGCACAATACTGGGTGTTAGGTAAGTTATTTTGACTGATATGGCTACTTAAAAGTGCCTTCACCAGGAGCCAACATAGAACAATGATGTTAAATAACAATCTATCACTCTTTTCACACACAAAATCAAATGCATGAGACAGCTGCCTCGTTCTGCTTAATCACAGAATAAATGGCAAAAGTCTCCTGAAGTAGGCTTGGAAATATCACCTTCCAGGCTTACATTACATCTAGACTCCTCAGAGATTCTTAGAAACAACATTTTGAAGACAAGAAATAGCTGTTCAACTAGCAACAGATAATTATTCTGTTGTCACATGGCCAGTGCAGGGTTGACTTTAAATTCCTTTCTTGTTTGTTCATTCTTACAATGGTTGATTGGTTGTTACTTGTTGAAATTCACAATATAAACAAATACTGTTCCATGCCCATCAGACTCAAGAGCTGAAGAAACAGGTTGGCCTTCTGCCCTCTTTGCCCTGCCAAGTCAGACAGGAGCTCATATATCTTGGCAAGCGTCCACTAGTATTTAGGATATGTTGCCTTGAGGAAATTAAGAGTGAGAGTTCCATATGGGGGTCAAACATGTTCTATAACAAATATTTAATATTTATAGAGCAATTTACAAAAGTTTCCTTCTTCAAGTTAAATTCTACTTCATGGATACTTCCATGTAGTAGTATTGGCAATAACACAGCAATGGTTTGTCACTGCCTTCTTCTGGAACGTTGCAACCTTTCTGCCATTCAAATACTAACCAGGCCCAAATCTGCATAGATTTTCAACAGTTCAATTGTTGGCTTTTAGAAAATTAGTTACAGTACAACATGTTTCAATGCCACAGGGAGGGTGGGACATACATCCTGGAACACAAAACCAAAATATAACTTTTGCTGTGAATACCCTCCTACCCCAATAATTCTTGGTCTCATTGGAGGCAAAAGAGAAAAAACAAACACAGGACTCTAGCCATTCTATGCATCAGTCGAAATTGGTGACAATTATGCCAAGAAACTAGTACTAGAGATACTCATTCATGCACATGGAACCTTTGAGATCATCATCAGTGCTTCCATTTGACCCATTCAAACAGAAGAATGTTTTCTACACAAAACTTTCACAAGTTCGAGCCATTTATCAATGAATTCAAAATATAGCCACGATTGAAGCAAGAAATTATGTACAGTACTATACAGCAAATATGAATGAGTGTAATTATTACACAGCTGGATAAGCAAAAGCATCTGAAAACAAGGAGCCATATTGCTCATACAAATGTACCTCTATAAACATGTATCAGTATCAAGTGGGCACCCTCATTATTTCTGATTGCTCTGGGTTTTTTTTTATATCGCAACATTTTGCATATCTAATTTCCAAAAAACCAGTACTGTTAACTGCAAAATACAAACTGGATATATTTCTATCACTTGAATCACTTGAAATTGAGAAGGGGGTGGAGGGAAAAGATGCAAAAACCAAGACCTTAAAATATTAGGTGTCTTCCTCCTGCATGGGACTCTCCTCTACTTCTTCAGTAGGTTTTTAATTTTAAAAGAATCAATGGCAGGTTTACAAAAAGTTAGTTCTTTGAAGCACAACATACTTTAAAACCAAATCTTGACATATTGCAGATAATCCTTTCTAGATTTATAGTTCAAGGAAGCTTCTCAGTAATAGAATCTTAAATAGGAGATCAATTATTTGTGTGTGTGTGTGTGTGTGTGTGTGTGTGTGTGTGTGTGTGAGAGAGAGAGAGAGAGAGAGAGAGAGAGAGATGATAATCATGGTTCTAAGCTCTAATGGTATCAGGAAGAGCTTGGCTAAGCTGTTTGGACATGCATTTGATCCTATTTAACATTTATATTTCATTTCAGGGGTGAAGGAGATAGAGAAAGGGGATTCAGACTGCAGAGCAGGAAAAAGTACACTCTTTGCTTAAAAGCTATAAAGGATAAAATGCAAGAAGCTGGATTCAGATCCAGTTCCCTTTTATATGCAAAAGCAAACATTCAGCAAGAAGAAAAGGGCCTGCAGTCAATCTACAGTGCTGTGCTGATTTCATGAGTCCAACCCTTAGGTGAGGCTTAGGAGCTGTGCAATTCAACCGTTAGTAGTACATTTAGACAGAAGCTAGTCTTAGCGATCAGGGTGATGCTTCTCGGTACTTGGAACATATTAGTTTTGCAGAACACAGCTCGATTTTCAACAGTATCTAGTACAAGGAGCTTTCCCAATTTCTCCCAGATAGGGAGGGTTTCAAAAGCAACAATTTGAACATATTCCTGGGAAACAGGTATCTTGACTTTTTTTTTAAAGGGGGGGGGGAGTTTACAACCATGAGCATTGATACAAGGCTTTGTATTCCAGGCTGTCGGAAAATAGGCCGGGGACAAGTTGATTTTCAAAGAAACAGGCCTGATTTCTTCGCCTTCAGACCTGCTCTCCTTTCTTTTAAGTCTCCCAGCGAGTGGGGGTGCCAGGGGAAATAGCACCCCGACTGTAAAGGATGCCCACCGGCTTCTTAGCTACCGCTAAGTTCAGCTAAGAGAGAGATGCACTTTCTTGAGAGATCTTTTTTTTTTTTAAACACGTGTATTTTCTTCTTCTTACCTTCAGCTGGAAAGGCTGAATCTCATTCAAACTTTGATTCCTGAGCTTCTTCGTGAGGATCTTGAGCATGGTACAAATCCAAGGAGCCAGGGGAAGAGTTAAGCCCGCACTCGCATCTAAAGAGCGTACCGTCGGCGCCGAGCAACTGCAGGTACACCCAACTTGTGGCTCGAGTGGCATATGATCTACCGAGAAATACGACCGTGAGCCTTTCTTCTTCTTTTTTCTTTTTTTTTCTGCACCCCTAAAACATCCCGGATCTGGTTGCTAACGCACAACTTCCTTCCCCCCCCCTCCCCCGCCCGTCTGCTCCGTCGAAAGAACTACTGGGGTTTGGTTTTTGTTTTGTTTTGTTTTGGTTGGTTTTTTTTAGAGGGCGAATGTCTTGCTTTTCCGAGCTGCAGCGAAGGACGCCAAGGTAGAAACGCCGACAGCAGCTAGCAGGGTTTCTATTGCAAGAGGCAGAAGGACATTGGATGCCGAAAGAGTTAAACAGGAGATGGGAAAGCTTTCGAAACTAAGGCCCGGAGCTCTGCTCATGCTCTAATGATATGCCTTTTCTCTTCCTTTCCTGCACATTGCCGGTCGCTCCCACGCGCTCTTCTTCCCGTCTCCTTTCTTTTTTCCACGCTCTCCTCTAGCGCGCACGGCCGTCTCTCTTTCTCTCTCTCTCCTCGGGGTTCTTGCTATATGAAACTTGTAACAAACAGGACCCGGAGACCAGGCGCCGCCGATTGGACAGCCAAGGCGGACTATGTCAATTTCAGGGGGCCGGGTTTCCATTTAAAGGGAAACCAAAAGAAGAACCGAGCAGGTACCGCCGTTTCCTCTCTCCTCACGAGTAGGTTGCCGCCGATCCGGAGGGGGAAGACCCAGATTGTCCTGCATCTCCTCGGCTTTTGAAAGCGTTTCTCTCCCCCTCCCCATACACACACATAACACCCCCTTGGAAGTTAAGGTGTTGGCAGCGAAAGAACCAGCCAGCGATGCAGAATAGAAACCTTACAGGGTTTCCTCCTTCCTTCTGAACGATCTCGGGTTTCTCTCTTTACGAGTACAAATGTGGTGCATCGTTTAGCATTTTTTTAAAATAAAGATTTTAATCATCCTCTTTGCTTTATATCCTGCAATTGAGGATATAAACCCCCTCATTTCTCAGTTGTATTAATTCATAATAACGTATTTAAAATATGTTTATTTTAAAAGGGGAGGATATTATTCCAGAAAGATAGAGACTTTATAGCTATATACACTTTAAAAGCATCATCATTTTGTTGGACTATAATTCCCAGAAATCCCAGTTGTTATGATGGTTCATCGTATAGTCAGCCAGATGTTTGGATTAGAGTTGGCGTTTTTATCCACCTAATGAATCCTTCCGAAGGACTTAGAAAGGCAGATCTGGATTTCTGATGGTAGATTTCTGAAGCTCACCAAGGTGCCTACCGTCCCTGTCCTATTGTTTCTTTTATTTTTCTTTCATTTTTCTTATATGTACTCATTTCATGTATTCATAATTATGTATACACTTTTACTTATCTCGTAAACAATTGACAAATAAATAAAATAAATAAATAAATAAATACATTCACAAGCTGTTCCAAGTAAAGCTGCCTTTTGCAATTGACTGATGATGAATATGTCAATGCTGATCAAGTTTAAGTGGTGCTCCAATTATTTTGGGATTGCACGCAAAGCTCCTATTACTATTGGTATTACCTTTGCTTTCTTTTGCCACAGGCATTCTATTTCTATCTCCAAGTCTTTGTATTTTGATAACTTCTCCAATTCTTGCTCTTTTATTCTGCTCTCTCAGGGTACTGCCATGTCTGCTAGCCAGACATTTTTGTTTCTTTCTTATCGATATTTGTTACGTCTGGGATGTTATGTGGCAGGTGCCTGTATGTTTGAATTCTAAAGTCCCAGAACACTTCAGCTTCTTCATTTTCAATTACTTTCTGTATTTATGATCCCACCAGTTCTTGTTTGCAGGCAAATGCTATTTCTTGCAGATCTTCCAATGCACCATTGTTGACATTTTGTTGTGCCATTGTTTGTAACTACGTAGTACGTGATGTTCTTGAGCAGCTAACTAGGTGGTCCACTCTTTCTTCAGTTTCTTTGCAGAGCTGGCACCTGCTGTTTGTTGCTGTCTTCGCAATTATGGCATTGTACGCATTTGTTCTTGGTGGCTTGTGTTGTGCAGCCAGAATTAGTCTCTTTATCTCTTTCTTCAACTTTCCTACTCTCAGCCATTGCCAGGTTCATTATCATCTGTTTTGTCTGCTATTTATGTTCTGGCCATGCAATACTTTGTCTTCCCATGCCTCTTTATCAGTTTTTATGTGGTCTTTCATGTAGGGTCAGTTTGATCTCTCTGGTGCTCAGTAAACCTTCCTGGTATACTAGCTCCAGTGCTTCTTCTTCACTGTCCTTCAGATATACTTCCAGTGCCCTTTTTTCTTCTTTAACCATCTGATGTACTTGCAACATTCCACACATGCTTATTTTCATTGGTAAGTAGAATCTTCCAGTGTTGCTACGAAGATGAAGGGCATGATTCATTGTCATTAATTTCCTGGTCTTCCTATCCAGGCCTTTTAGTTCTGCTGAAGTCCAGTGCACTATTCCAGCTTGTATCTAATTACTGGAATTCCCCAGATATTTATTGCCTTGATGGTATTTCCTCCAGTGGGTTTGGCCTTTAAAATCTTCACTTCTATTTTCACTTTTAGCCTTTTTATTGACTTCAGTGTGCTTGATGTTGTCAGCCAGAAGGATGCCCAGATATATGTAGTAGTAGTCTTCATCTAGACTCTTGATGTTATTTCTACAGGGCATCTTGATTCATTGCATTTTCACTATTTTTTCCCTGTTTGATATTGAGCATGGCCCATTTGTCCAGTCCAAACTCCATTGCAATATCTTGGCTTTATCTAGACAGCATTGAGCAGCAATTGTATTTCAGATAATAATGTTTTTACACACAGTTGTTTTCAACTAGAAGTTGTTGGACTGCATCAGCTACCACACTTTTGCTTTAAAAAAAAAGCAATATGGAGTAAAGGAGGGTTTTATTCTTTTCCTACATAAAATACCTTGATTAGTTAATTGTGTGCCATCAAATTGGTATTGATTCCTAGTCACCATATACATTTTTCTTCCATGATCCTTAACTTTATCCTTCCAGCTGTGCATCCATTGCCACTGTACTTCAGACCATTCACATTACTGCTGGTTATCCTAATCTTTTCTTTCCAGTTGCCTTTTCCAATATTAGAGCTTTCCCCAAAGAGCTAGGTCTTTGCATAATGTGTCCAAAGTAGAAAGATTTGAGCCTGATATTTGTGCCTCCAGGGAGGCCTCTGGATTGATTTATTCAATGATCCAGTGTTTGTTTTCTCAACTGCTCTGCTACTCTAAGGCGTCTTCTCCAATACTGATGTTCGAAAATGTCTATACTCTTTCCATACTGATTCTTCAAAGTCTAACTTTCATTTCCATAGAGTGTTAGAAGGAATACCATAGACCACTATCCTGATCTTTATAGATATAGCATCTGATTATTTTTTCAATATCTTCATGTCTGCTCTGCCAAGTGTTAGTCTGCAGCATATTTCTTAACTACTTGTTCCTTTACTATTGATAGTTGAGCCTAAAAGGCACAAACTATCCAATACTTCAGTACATTCATTGTCAATTATAAGGCTTGTGCTTGTATTTGTTGTCATTCATGAGACTATATTTAATTTTAGTCCCATTTCTTCACTGTTCCCTTTTATTACTAGTGCTTGCAGATCCTGTGATATGTGGTTATCAGGACAGTGTCATTAACACAGCTCATGCTATTGGTATTTATTTCTCCAATTTTAAAACCACACTCATCTTCTTCCAATCCAGCTTCCCTTAATATATATTCAGCATATAGATTGGATAAATAAGGTGAGAGTATACAGCCTTGTCTCATCCTTTTTACCATAATTGTTTCTACATTCCTACTCTACTCACAGTGAAGGGATTGGTACAGGGGTGGGATCCTACAGGGTTAACTACCAGTTCAGTCATTTATGAGGTTCAGTGATTTACGATGTGCTTCCCTGCACGCTACCGGCATGCCTGTAAATTGTCATGTGCCTGTAAATTGTCATCAGCATGCTGCGTGCCTTTCAAAAAGTCCTTTTTTCTGCTTTTTTAACAGAAGCTGTGTCTCGCACGGCAGCTGAAGTTGAAAAAATCAGGAAATAAAGGTCGGGTAAGAGCCCAGGTGGGCAAAAACGTCAGCAGACATAGAACCGGTTCTATATCTGCTGTTCTTCAGAGCTACCGATTCTACAGAGGTGGACAGAACCGGTAGAAACCCACCCCTGGATTGGTAGAATGCTGCTCCCAATTATCCAGATGATGCATACATATGTTGCTGCAGTTGCAAATGTCCAACCTGAATAATTGGGTTATTCAGAAACCCAATATTGCTTAGTCATTCAGTAACCACCATCATTAGATAGGCCTGTCATGATCTAGTAGCAGCTATGTAGCCAGGAAAGAGTATATAGTGCACTCACTCATTCATTCACACTCTCACCCTCTTAGTCACAGCCAAACACAGCAATAGGGGAGAGTCTTCCTTTACTAAAGAGAAACTCCAATCACACTTTTACATCTGAATAAAACCAAAGCAGTGGTATAGAGTAAGTTCACCATCTTGGTGGACATATAAAGGAGAAAGAGAGAGGGAGGGAGGGAGGGAGGGTGAGAGAGAGAGAGAGAGAGAGAGAGAGAGAGAGAGAGAGAGAGAAAGAAAGAAAGAAAGAAAGAAAGAAAGAAAGAAAGAAAGAAAGAAAGAAAGAAAGAAAGAAATCCACATGCATACATTAATTCAGAAGATTTTAAAGACTAATACACAGCTAAAGCTAGAACATAATAAAATTATGTTGTAATCATAGAGTAAGAGTTTATTTTAAATTGCCAGAAAAAGCCACTTGAGTTACATAATTCTAAACTTTTGATTTAATGGTCTTAATCCGGAGCGGGTAAGTTAATAATATGTACAATAATTCCTTTATTTCAACACATAGCAAATCTTTCCCACAGAGACTAGGAGCTCTTCAATCGTGTCCTGATATCACCACCACTATCCTCTTCAGAATGTTTATGGAAAATGTTAATTTTCCATTCCTTTTTGTCTGGAAATGGTTAACCATTTTATGATACGGTTATTTGCAAGGGACTTTTTCACATACGTTGCCATATAACTTTTTGATAAGAATATAAACATTTTTAGTAGCTTTTTGCTTTACTGTTGATGTAAACCATCATCTGAAGTGTACATAATCATGTGAGACAAGTACAAGCTAAGAAACATCTAAATAGTCACCCCAGGATATCTTTCTAAAAATAAAGCTTTTTTGTTGCTGATGTTCTTGTGTGCAATAAATTAAAAAATCAAAATCTAAAAATGTTTTTGTCCTCAGTCACCCTCCTGTCACATGACCTGTAAGTCACAAACTGTGGGTCACAAACTCTGGGGGGAGAAATCTAAAGAGATTTATCCTTTTGCAATAAGATTGCAAGCTAATTAGGAGGAAATCTGCCTGTTTCTATAGGTCTCCAATTGCAATGATTCCCATTTTAATCCCATTACCCCGTCCTATAAAACCATACTGGGATCTACAGTCTAGTACCTAGGTAATATTTAAATGAAAAATGCCTGTTA